CTTAATGGGCCAATGTTGGGCCAGGATGGGCCAACCATTTGGCCATCTATAAGAGGACCTACATTTTAGAAAAGATTTCGGTATACTCTTCATATTTTCCTTGGTGAGCTTCGTATAGTAGTCACGGTAAATAAAATCAACTGCTCCGGTCCCTTCCTGTTTCCACGCAGTAACGTGCATGGCTGTGCCTTAATGGTCGGGCCCTGTTCGTTTGGGCTGGTTTGGCTTATAAGTCATGACTGAAAGTACTGTTTACTGGTTTGGTGTGAGAGAAAAAAAAACTGTTCGCTGGCCGATAAGTCATGGCTTATAAGCCAAATACGACCAAGCGAACATGTTGCATATGAAGGCTGAGCTCCAAACTAAATTCATATACAAGAATAAGGCATCATGCTGCCTTTTCAATATTGTTAAGCTTAAACATGTGCACCGTGCACCGAAAAGATTACAATAGCACAATGTTTTATTATGACATAAAATTTTCACTGTGATTATGGATTTGGTGACGCATGCCTATGAAAAATTTTAGTCTCCACGTTTTCTTTAGTCGCGATTCGGATAAAAAAATGAAGTGACATGAGAGATCTGCTGCGAAATGAAGCGAGGCAAAAATGAAAAATAATACCCGCACCTCTTTTTGTTATATCATCCATGCATGATGATGAAAGATGAGACGCATCAAGCAGAGTGCCCGGTGCCCCTGTCGCGAACTCCATAGAGCCGATAGGAGCGGTGGTGGGGAGTTGGGGACAAGAAAAGGGGAAGGACTTTCATAAATAAATAAAAACATTACCCGTGGGGAGACACTCCTCGGTTTCCTGCTTAAGATAAAAACGTGATCTTCTCACGTAGATCGTGAAAAGTCACCTTCACGTAGATCGAAAAAATCCTCGAACCCATATTCCACTTATACATAGCGGCAACGTAGCTCACGTGAGACTATGCCGGCCTTTAGACATGTGCTTCACGTACATCGAGAAAATCCTCGAACCCCTGCTCCACTTATACATATACATGCGGCAGCGTAGCTTACGTGAGACTGTGCCAGCCCTTAGACATGTGCGTCACGCAGATCGAGAAAATTCTCGAATCCCTGTTCCACTTATACATAGCAACAGTGCAGCCCATGTGAGACCGTGACGGCCCTTAGACATGTGTTTTTAGCATGAGACAGGCAACGACATTTTTTTATAATGTGTAAATATGCGCCTGCGTAGGTGGGGAGTCCAACTCCCGACCTGGAGCTTCTCACTGCGGGGAACGCTGCCAACCGAGCAAACTGCTCGATGAAATGGGTAATTTATTTTAATGGTTCCAATAAACAAATGAGTGGTGCAGCTTGAGAGACTTACCATCCATGTCGTCGTCAGGTTATCAATCGCTCAGCTCGGCCACTCGACTGATTCAGCTCTGACTGAGGCGTCGCTCAATAATTCATCCATCGCAATGAAGCAAAGATCTATCTAATGATATTAGTTATGTACCATATATATTAATATTTTTTATATAAAATTAGTTAAAGTTATTTATGGAAAGTGAATAATAGTTATTTAGAGACACAGTGAGTAGCAGTTACACTTCGGCCTGGAACCATGCGCTGAGTGCTTCCTACTTCCACGCGCGCAGTTGCCTGGGTTGTTTCTCTACTCCTTTTTCTATACCCAATAATGATAAGTGGAGTGAGCGGCCCATGCGCTCTAGGAGCCCACGTAAATCTTTTTTTTTTCTTGTTGTTGGCCTCAACTCTATATACGAGATAGTAAATACAAAAGCATACATATTATTTTCACAGATGTTATAATACTATCGTATTACCCTATAATTTCTTCTCCCAGATCTGGAATATTGTTCTCTTGTGAAGATGGAACATTGTTTGCTGATCCTAAACATGGTCTCTATATAATAAAAGAGAATGTTCTTTCTATATGAGATAAATGTTCGATAATAAAATTTATCAGCATATATCCATGGGTCTCACTACGGCAGACGCATGCTTTGCACTCGGTAAAGAGCTGTTGGCATATCCCTTCACGGCAAAGACTTCTTTGTCGAGTGCCGCATGTCGGGCACTCGGCAAAGCCTTTGCCGAGTGCTGGAAAAGCACTTGGCAAAGATTTACACTCGGCAAAATAAAAATGCGAAAAAACCCAAAAATAATAGCAAAATTTTTTTTCGAGGGAGGCCGCCACCAGCCAGCGCCCGCCCGTCTTCATCGAAGTCGGTGCATTTTTTGCGCTAAATTCGTGGCTAACGCGGCCGGCGGGATTCGAACTCACGACCTCTCCCTCGCGTGTCTGCTGCTCTACCACTGCACTACAATGTCACTTGTGTCTAGATTCCGTTATCTATCCTCATATATTATACTAAACCGAGAGTAAATTGCTCGTTTGATGCCCTAAACGAATTCAAATCAAAAAGTGGTCAACTACAAAGTTTCATAACTTTTTGGGATCTACAATTTTCATTTAGGAAGTTTTTCCATCCGAGGTCGTTTGAAAAATTCGAATTTCAAATTTGAGAGATTCAAACGTAGTTTTGCATGATAAGATGATTTCAAATCAAAAAGTTATCAACTACATAGTTTCATAACTTTTGGAGATCTACAATTTTCATTTAGGAAGTTTTTCCATCCGAGGTCTTTTGAAAAATTCAAATTTTAAAATTTTCAAATTCAAACGTCGTTTTTGCATGAAGATGATTTCAAATCAAAATGTTGCCAACTACAAAATTTCATAACTTCTCAAGATCTACAAAGTTTATTTTGATCATAGTGGTAGTAACATTGTTCACAAATCTTATATATCTCTCTTCTACTTTCATGAAACTAATATGAGAAATGTAGATTTTATGAACAAAGTTATTGTTGCTTTGTCAAATGAAGAAATGACCAAAATAAACTTTGTAGATCTTGAGAACTTATACAACTTTGTAGTTGAAAAGTTTCTCATTTGAATTCATTTAGGGCCTCAAAAATTGCTTTGAAAAATTGATTTGCCGAGGGCCAAAAAAATGCACACGGCAAAATGCCTCTTTGCCGAGTGCGCCGAAAAAAAGCACTTTCGGCAAAAAAAACGCATTTTGCCGTGTGTGTTAAAAAGCACTCGGCAAAATACATCTTTGTCGAGTGCGAAAAAGCACTTCGGCAAAGACGCATTTTGCCGTGTGCCGAAAAATAGCACTCGGCAAAATACATCTTTGCCGAAAATGCCAAAAAAAGGCACTTTCGGCAAAGACGCATTTTGTCGAGTGTTTTTTTTTGCCGAGTGTATTTTATTTGGCACTCGGCAAAGACCGTCTGTGCCGAGTGCCCGATAAAATGCACTCGGCAAAGTGCCGGTTTCCGGTAGTGTCTTGTTTTAAAGGATTTATTACAATAAACACAATAGTGTAATTGAAATTTAATTTAGTTGGTTTAATTTGTAAACTATAGATTTTTAAATTTGTAGCAAACCATGCCATCATCATGTTATTTTACTATGCATGCATACATGTTCTTGTATGAGTACGACCTCAGTATACAACGTTAAGTGAAACGCAGCTGAGAGCAACCACAATATGAATTTGAAAGTCCATATGGTCAGTTTTTATGTCAGTGATCGAGCTAGAGCTACTATTTGTGTCAGAGTCTATATGGACCAATATATGGAACTCACCATAACATAAAAAAATAGTAGGGGCCCAACCGTACACGCTACTTCTTCACCGGCTGGCCGGCTGTTGCGAGTCCGCTCGGCGACTATTGTTCTCCTGCCATGCCGCTGCCAATGCTTGTTCCTACCAGCGCCGTTTGTTGCTATCGCCTCCGCTTGTTCCTTCTCCGTCGAGATCGAACTTCTGCCATCTCAAATCTGCCTCGTCTTCTCGAATCAGATTCTAGCTTCTTCCTGCTCATGCTCGGCGTGCAGATGGTGGCGTGCCGCGCGGGTGCTTGTGGCGGTGTCCTCGTGGAATTCGCGGATTGCTTTGGCGGCGTCCTCACGAGCGGATGGCTATGGCGGTGGCGTGAGTGGTGCGGATGGCTGCGGCGGCCTCGCGGGTGGTGCAGATGGCCTCGCGGGTGGTGCAGATGGCCTCGCGGGTGGCGCAGATGGCTGTGCAGGTGGCCTCGCAGGTGGCGTGCATGGGCAGACACGTGGCATCGCGGGCGGCGTGGATGGCCGCAGCGGCAGCCTCGAGGGTGGCGCGCATGGCTTGGCGCGACGCCCTGGCCGGCGTCACGGAAGGCCAGGACGGCATCCTCGGGGGCGGCATAGGCAACCGGCGGGAGCGGCAACAACAAGTACCCAGACGGAGAGAAATATTTTTTTATTGCTTATGGGGTCCGTAGGTTTATGGACGACTTTTGTTGTGAACTGCTCTATTGTTTTTTTCATAATGTTCCATATAGTCTGTAAGGAATAATGTAGTCTCTATGAACAGCTTTTGGAGCATACTATGGTTGCTCTGAGATAGTGGCCCAACTTTATAATCTAGCCCACTTGATGTATATATAGAGAAAAAAAATGCCAACGCTTTGCTCGCGTCTGATGCATAACACGCCCCCAACGCCGACCAGCTTGAGTGCTTGACTTTGCCTCTCTGTATCAATTAGCTGGCTCATTCGTCTCACGCACAAGATAAACACTGTATAGGCAGATGGGGCTCGTCGTCCTTTGGTGTCCGCATCATGCATCATCATCAGTGCTTCTTCCTGGAAGCTGCAGTGATGGGCATGCAAATAAAAGAGCTGAGGTCTACCCCCAATTTGAGACGCAAATAGTTGTCACGGCTAGTAAATTCACGTGTTGACTGGGGTTGGCCTATGACGGGACGTATTTCTCAATTACTGTTGTGGAGAAGCAGTGGAAGAGATATGAACCGTAGAGACGACGACTTGGACTGCTCCTCTCTTGAGTCAAAGTCACGGTCACCCCAACAGAGCCAGTTAATAAACAAAAGGCAGAGTTACTACTAGCGCGATATATATACGAGAAGCATTGTCTTCTTGCCAAGCTCCAACGATGGCTTGCGAGAGCGCATCAGCCCCCTTATATTCTCTCGCTTTCATCTGCCTCAGCTACTCTTTCTTGGTGCTATGCATGCACGTTCCTTCGTCGGTTTCATTCAGCTTCAACTTTTCCAACACTACTGGTGACAACCCCTGCGGCGGACTCGAGCTCAGGTGCTACCGCGATGCGCATTTCGACAAGACCACATCAGCCATCGAGCTGACAAAGAACCTCCGAGGAGAAATCACCAACAGCCAAGGTCGGGTGTGGTACAAGCAGCCCGTGCGGCTATGGAAAGAGAGCACCGGCGAGGTAGCGAGCTTCACCACCACTTTCTCCTTCAACCTCACGCCGTCCGACTCCATCCGGTGCAGGGACACATGGGCATCTCAGACGGGCGACGGCATGGCCTTCTTCCTTGCGCCTTGGCCTAACTCTAACTCGAGCACCGGCGGCGGCATCGTCCTGCCCAACGCAACCGCAACGGAAGGCGGCGACCTCTACCTTTTCAACCCCAGCAACCATTTCAACGCAACGGGTGACAATCGGGTTGTTGCCGTCGAGTTCGACACATTCTGTAATGTGGGAATCGACAACAGTACCACCCAGCACATCGGCATCGATGTCAACTCCATCGTGTCTGTGGCGAGCACGAACACTCCAGGGATGAACAACCTCACATCCCCCTTCACCAAGGCGGCCATGATCAGCTACGACAACGTGACCAAGATGCTAGCCGTTGATCTGCAGATCAACGGTACTCCGTACGCCCTGAACACGACCGTCAACCTTACACAAAGCTTGCCGGAGACTGTGGCTGTCGGATTCTCAGCATCGACCGGCGACTGTGTGGAGCTGCACCAGCTCCTGTCATGGTCCTTCAACTCCACACTCCAAGAACCCAAGTTGGCAGAGGTTGCCGGGGCAGTCATCAAACCAGAGCCCTCGGCGAAATTACTACTCGAGGTACTTGTTCCTACAGGATCTGTTCTCGTATGTGCAGGTGCGGTCCTTCTCCTATGGAGGACGCATGCAAGAAATCGCCGCCCACGTCAAGGTTCCGACAGTGAGGAATCCGACGAGCAAAACAACGGCGAGGCTGCCGCCTTCGAAATGAGTGTCGCCGGTCCAAGACGTTACTACTACCGCGATCTCGCCGCTGCAACCGGCGGATTCGCAGACGAGAATTTGCTTGGGCGTGGGGGGTTTGGCAGCGTGTACCAGGGCCGGCTCCCCAGTTCTTCTAACGAGGACGACAATGAAGACCAGGAGCAGCAGCAGCAGCGGCGGCGGCGGCAGGAGGTAGCCATCAAGAAGTTCAACTCGGAGTCATCGTCTCAGAGCCGGAAAGAGTTCGAGGCTGAGGTAAAGATCATAGCACGTCTAAGGCATCGCAATCTTGTGCAACTGCTAGGCTGGTGTGATAGCCGTAGAGGACTCTTGCTTGTCTACGAGCTCATGCCCGAAGGGAGCCTTGACAAACACATCTACAGCACTGACAAGGTCTTAAATTGGCCCGAGAGGTACAACATGCATCCTATCAATAACATTGTTACTCGGTTATAGTTATATCTTTTTTCCTTCACTATTCTATCGAACCAATACTCCTGAACTGGCTTAGAACACTAGAAGAAATTGTATTTAACTCCAACAACTAATCAAATTTACTAATGTTTATGAATAATTTCTCTCTTCATTTTATCTAACATAAAACCCATTGGATACTTCATATTCTTTTTTCTTCTTTGTTAATTTTACAAACTAATTAGCAATAAATCCATCATCTATTTTTGTAATTTTTTCCCCTTTGACCATGTAGAATATATACCATGTCTAAACACATACTAAGAACTGTCTATAGAAAAAGCCATGACGACTTATAATTTAGAACGGACTAAGTACAAGCTATAAGACTAATGGGTTGGTGTTTTGGAATTTTGTGACGATTTGTGGGATTTATCATTATTTTTCCAATCGTGTCTTGTGATTATTAATGTGGAAGCTGGTTCATATAATTATTAATAGGAAAATCATGCATTAATGCATTCGGTGGTATATATTAAAACTACAAATTAACTTCGTGGTACAAGATTAAATCAAATACTATCTATAGGTACACGATTATTCTGGGATTGGGATCAGCACTACACTACCTCCATCGGGACTGGGATCAACGTGTTGTGCACGGTGACATAAAGCCAAGCAACATCTTGCTTGACTCGTCCTACAACGCAAAGCTGGGAGACTTCGGTCTGGCCCGCCTCGGCGACCATGGCACCGGCCCGCAGACGACGGACATCGTCAAGGGCACCATGGGGTACATCGATCCGGAGTTCATCAACACGCACCGCCGAAGCACAGAGTCGGACATCTACAGCTTTGGCGTCGTCCTGCTCGAGATCGTCTCGGGCCGGCCACCTGTGGACCGCCAGGATCCGTCTTTCTCGCTCCTCAAGTGGGTAGAGACCTTGTACTGCCAGCAGGGCGTCGGCCGCGTCCTGGATGCCGCTGATGTGCGGCTGCGGGGAGACGAAGCCCATGATCGGCAGATGGAGCGTGCTCTGCTCGTCGGGCTCTGGTGCGCGCACCGTGACCCCGGGCAGCGCCCATCCATCGCTGAGGCCATGCAGGTCCTGCAGTCCGAGGAGTTGAAGCTGCCGGTGCTCTCGTTACACATGTACAGCAAGCTGGCGACGCCACCATCTGTTGGCAACGTTGCCTCGACGGTCGTCGATGACTCTGGTGTCTCCGGCAACTCCATGGCTAGCGGAGTCCGCTCGGCAGAGACCGCTGGCACGACGGCAGGCTCGTCGGAGTCGTTTGCCACTTTACCAGTAGTACTGCCACCCCATTCTACATGGTAGTATAATTATTGTTGTGTACTGTTCAAACTTTAATAAGCAAACTGAAATTGTAGCTTGTTTATTTCTTTGCTTACTTTGCGCCTATATTTTAGTAGTGAATTATAGAAAATTGTTGGAAACGGTCTTATTTTTTCCTCCCAATACTTTTTTGCGAGTTGAAAAACTCTATGGTTTAAGCTGCATATGAAAGCTGAGCTCCAAAACTAAATTTGTATACAAGAATAAGGCATCAGGTCAACTGATCGTAGATCAGTTAATATGGCTTCCATGTGGTGGAACATGCCCACTCGAGTTTAAGTCCTCGACTTGGCACGAGTATTCGTATTTTTCTAAATTTATTCTAGGATTTAACGGCCCTATAATTTCAGTGGTAGGCGACGACCCCGCCGGCTCAGTCCTTCGGAGCTGCTCAAAAGAATAGAATTTGTATGCGTGTGTTCATAGGGGTGAGTGTGCGTGCATGTTGTGGGGGTCTATCACTACTGGATCCGCCGCCTTTGCTGAGTGCGGGCCGCACTCGGCAAAGGAACCTTTGCCGTCGGCAAAGGCTTTGCCGAGTGCGGCTCTCGGCAAAGCCCACTCGGCAAAGAAGTGGTCGGCAAAGGAAGCTTTGCCGAGTGCCACGTGGCAGGCACTCGGCAAAGGATTTGCCGAGTGCCACACCAGCACTCGGCAAAGTTAACGGGCGCCGTCAACTTGACGGCACCCTTTGCCGAGTGCCGACGTGTCAGGCACTCGGCAAAAGAATTTTTTTTAAAAAAAATTCTTCGCCGAGTGCTGATGTGTCAGGCACTCGGCATTTTTTTTTGAAAAATTATTTGCCGAGTGTCACGTGGGGCACTCGGCAAAGTTTTTTTAAAAAAAGCCTTTGCCGAGTGCTGGCACTCGGCAAAGGTTTGGTCACTTTGCCGAGTGCCATGCCAGCACTCGGCAAAGCTGGGCTCTGCTGGAAAAAATGCCCAGCTTTGCCGAGTGCTGGCACTCGGCAAAGCTGGAATTTTTTTTTGTTTTTTTCTGTTTTATTGCATTCCAGACATGCAATTTCACATATATTCATGACAATAAACTAGAATGTCACATAAAAATCACATTTCATCATCAAATGACGTCTCAACACGAATTCATACATAAAGGTCTTCATGACAATAAACTATAATACCACAGCGGCACGAAGGCCGACATCACAATGACACGAAGGCCGACAAGTCCACAAGCGGGCGATTGGTACCTAGCTCAACCCGGCGTCCCAGGGGCCCAGAGCCCCCACCTTGCTCCCACGGAGACCACCACGATCAAGGCGCGCCGTGCTGAACGCCGAGTAGGGCCCGAGTGCCCTCCTGCATCGGTGGAGAAGGAGCGGTACACGGCCGCGTGAAGCCCCGAGTCGGGAAGGTCGGGTGAGCCGCCACCGTCGCGTGGAGAAGGGCCCAGATGGAGGGTCGGCACTGAGTCGGGTTCGAACCACCCAATTGCTCTGCACAAAGGACAAGTGATCTCATTAGTACCTGCAGGATGGCCGCACAAGCTAAAGCAACAGGCAATATACTCACCGAGTTCGCTATAGGAGTAGGCACAGGAAAAGGTGGTGGAGCGAAGATCGAGGCAGGGAGCTCGTCCTGCTGCATTCTCAGGATCTAAAGGCCCCGGAAGTAGGCGGCAAAGTCCTGCGCATCGACGCCGGTAGTCTTTGCATGATGCCCACCGCCACCGCCGATGGATAGGCGCCATGTTCTCTGGTTCGTCTGCAATCGCAAGCGATCTGGGCCTGCAATATTACACCCGCAAAGTTGATGGTATGTGAAAGCAAGGTACATGTGTGAAACGAGTGAATGACGAATGAAACTACACTTACCTGAAATGCCGAGAACATCTGCGCGTTGCTCGGCTGCTGAGGCGCTATGGGGATGTCGGAGGAGCTCCTGGTCCTGTCTCGTCGAATCTGGCTCAGCGTGGGAACAGAGGACGACTCGATGGCGCTGTTGGCCATCCAGTACCGGCTGTGCTGCTTCCCTCCTCCCAACCTCATCAAGAGGTCCGTGTCCAGGGGGTCGGTGGCGGGGTCGAACGTCTCCCCATGGAGCTGGCGAGCCGCGGAGGTGTACTCGGCGAGCTTGGGGTAGACGCTCGCGTTGGTGTACGCGTCGGGCCCATCCACCGGGTTGTAGACGTTGTCCGCCGCCGTCGCTTTGCCCTTGTGAGCAAGGGCGTACCCCGTGAACTCGTTGACGACCTGCCCACCATGCGACTGGGTCTGCGAGGAAAACACAAACATGGTTACAAGTAATGACAATTGAGCGCTAGAATTAAGAGATCAACAGAAGCATACCCATCTTTCCATGAACACTGGGAGGGACTGGTTCCCTTGGTGGTGTGGTGCCCCTCGCATCTGCAGGCGGCGCTCCCGACGTTCTCTGCGCCTCTGGTACGCCGCGTCTATGGTCCACTCACGCACAATGGCCGCCCAACAGTCCTTGTAGTTGTCGCACCACCCCGGACACATCTGCATGACATCAAGTATTTGACATGCCAGAAGATGAATTGAATGTTTCACGGAAGGAATCAGAACGAATGTTTCCTACTTAATTACCTACATGTATCAAGCCTCTGTGAGGTCGGTCTCCCTCTAGAGTATCATTTCCACGACTTTCGCTTCTTCACCACTTGGCCAAGCACGCCGGCGTAGTAGCTGATGACGACCGGGAGATCGCCTCGTGGTACAGGTCCTTGAGACGATCTTTGCGAGACCGCCTCCTGCACTCAAGCGCAAGGTGCTGCTCTCTCCCTCCTCATGCACGTGAAGAAGTCATGCACACAGACATCATGTATCATTTCATTGTTTCAAGAACGTCCAACGAATGTGTAGTATTGAGAAATGCGGTGCGATGAAAATACTCACCCAGAACTCCCTCTTGATCTTCGCCACAAGGGTATCGCCGTTGGAGTCCGTGACGCTGGAGAAGTGCTCCCACTTCATGGGCGCCTGTACCTCACCCTGTGGGTGACCAAGCCAGGGTAGTACTCCCTAATCCACAAGTTATTTGTAACAACGAACAGGAATAACAGACTGTTTATTCTTAAGTTCAGTTCCAACAGAACAGAACTGGCAGGTTCAGTGCAAGAGTAAGTGAGCTATCATTTTTTCTCTCCATAATTATAAAGCTGATAGCATTAGTATCTAATAATAAAGTTAAATCACACTAACCAATAAGACGAGGAAGAAGTTGCAGGTAATTAAGCTAAGATTTTGTTCTAATTAATCAATAAGGTAGTGCATGGACCACAAAGAACCAGCCATCACTGCTCTCTTATACTATCATGGCCATTCCAGGAAATAATCTTAGACTAGCATCAACATACATGGAAATCCGGAGCTACAGTGTACCTCGTGGATCTAGCAGAGGATAGGGAGCATACCTCAGCGCCGCTCTGCACTCGTCGGATGGATGGAGCGTCGTCATGGCGGCGGTTGCAGGGATGTGGTCAAGTCTTCTTGACCGGATGGATGGCAGGGTGCTCTATGCTCAAGGAGGGAGCTTCCACCGCCACGATCCACGCCTGCAGATAGATGGAGAACGGGACCACGAAATTCCATGATGGCGAGGAGGAGAAGGGATCTCTGGGCAGCGCGGGGCGGAGCTTCGGTAGCGCGCGGCCGGGATGCGGGCGGGCCGGGAGCTGGGGCCGCCGCGGCTGCTTTCATGGGCGATCGGAGGAAGGGGCGGTGGCGGCGGGAGGGCGGCGGCGGCAAGCGTGGGCGGGCGGCGAGAGGAGGAGAGGAGTGAGGAGTGGGGGTTGGGCCGGCCCATGTCGGCCTTTAGGTTAAAGGCTTTGTCGAGTGCCAGATCAGCTCGCACGGCAAAGACGCCATCTTTGCCGAGTGCCAGCCGACCTGGCACTCGGTAAAGAGCTGCCACGTGGCAGGCTCAGGGCCTGCCAAGCCGGCTTGCCTTTGCCAAGTGTCACGTGGCCAGCACTCGGCAAATTAATATATTTTTTTTGTTTTTTTCTTCCTATTTTTTTTGTGGGGTCTTGATACAGTAATTACATCTCAACTTCAAAGTTTGGGACAATTTTGAGTTTGTGTGCTATATTTCTTTAATTATTTTTGTTTCGTTGAATTTTTCCGACTACTCCAAATTTGAACTACATGTATATGAAATAATGGAATTTGGTCATTCAAAAAATGGTATTCATGATGTTTGGCGTATGTTGAGGCCGTATGCAGGAACTCGGATGAAATTACGACCATGTTGGTGTTGTAACATGACGAGTTACTTGCGGGAAAAGTGTTTTTAAATTATATAAAATCCAAACGAAGTCTGAAAATCACGAAACTTGTCGAGCTGTCTTCTCATCACATGTGGAGGCCGTGGTAAAAAATCGAGAAAGTTTAGAGCAAGTTGTGACATCGGATGCCTAAAACCCAGACATCTCCTTGTGATCACATGTGGAGATGTCTGGGTTTTAGGCATCCGACGTCACAACTTGCTCTAAACTTTCTCGATTTTTTACCACAGCCTCCACATGCGATGACAACACACCTCGACAAGTTTCGTCATTTTTGGACTTCGTTTGGATTTTATATAATTTAAAAACACTTTTCCCGCAGGTAACTCGTCCATGGTCGTAACTTCATGCGAGGTCCTGGATACGGCCTCAACATACGCCGAACATCATGAATACCATTTTTTGAATGAACAAATTCCATTATTTCATGTACCTGCAGTTCAAATTTGGAATTGTTGGAAAAAATCAACGAAACAAAAATAATTGAAGAAATATAGCACAAAAAGTCAAAATTGTCCCAAGTTTTGAAGTTGAGATTTATTTACTGTATCAAGGCCCCAGAAAAAAATTGGGAAGAAAAAAACAAAAAAAATACTATTTGCCTAGTGCCCGCGGTGGCACTCGGCAAAGAGGGCTTTGCCGAGTGCCGGCGCACGTGGCACCCGGCAAAGAGGCCTTTGCCGCGTGCCGGCGCACGTGGCACTCGGCAAAGG